ATCAGTTATACAACGTTATAATAGCTTACTTCAAATCGGGGGAAGTGCGATTTCGATTACAGCTTTGTAAATCCTTCTTTCGGCGGTTGAAGCCAGTTCCTCTCATCATAAATCGCGCCCTCGCCCTCGATAACATGGAATGTATATATAATCCTGCCCTTCGAGCTCAGATTTTTCTCGCTCTTGTGCAACAAATTGCCATGAATCAGGACTAGAGTGCCCGCCTTAACCTCGCCTGACTTATATTCGCCCTCTGCCTCAGCGGCTTGATAGTCCTTCCCGACAGGAAATCTCATACCACCGTTGTCGATAAATTCCGTCCCCATTCCATCCTCTCTCCTAACAAATCTCTTATCTACCTCAGCGCTCTTGTGACTTCCGGGCAGGAAACTCAAGCATCCATTCTCTACCGTCGCATCTTCCAGCGCGTACCAGAAACCGACCGCACTTGGTGGATCCGTGTAGAGAAAAGTTGAGTCTTGGTGAGGAGGTACAGCGCCTCCAATTTCTGGTTGTTTGCAAATTATCATACTTTGCAAACAACGAGGGTCGCGGAAGCCAACGGATCTGGCTATTGCGCCAGGATAGTATTTTGAGGAAGGAGACAGCAGTGAGGCAAATGGTGGTGATAGCGCGTGTAGATAATGGCCAATCTTGTTAATTGCGCGGGATTTTGGTTTGGTGAGCTTTCCAGAGTCGTCAAACGCATCTAAAGATGTTAGTTGTGATTCGTAAAAGTGGGCTGGTGTACGAACCTTCTTCGAAGAAGAATCGAATCTTGTCACCAGAGTTTAGAAAATATTCATCACCAACATGTTCGCCATCCTTTCCTTCGCCCGTTGAGAATTTGGTCATGGGGTGATCATCCAACGAGAAGTTATCAAGCATTGAATGGGTCTCCGTGAGCAGCGAGGAAACAGTGCTCTCGTCCAAGGCATTTGGTAAAATGAGGTATCCATCTTGTTCAAATGTCGCTAGCTGTTCTTTCGATAGCCCTTTTTCTATTACAGAGGGAGGGTTTGGAGAGGTGCGTGAGGGAGCCATGTTGATGTAAACAGAACAATCGCACCAGAACTGAATCCCTCGGTATAAGATTAGAAGTTCCCTTATCGGAACCCCGCTTATGATAAGCACTATTTAGCGAATTGACCCCGCACCTGCCACACAAAATGCCAAAATGCTCAAGCAAATAAACAAATGACCTGAAGCTCCTGCAAGCCTGGCGCTCTTGACGCCCCCTTCATAGCACCTGCCGCTTCGAAGTCCTAGCGCGCCCGTGATTGTTTGCAGGATCCCTGTTTGTGCCAACATCAGCCAGCGATGCAAAAGCCTTACGGTGGGAGCCTCACTGTAAAGACCTTCAATAAACCAAACTGCAAACACCCTCCGTATGTTCTCATCAGAGCCTATTTTGCATAACACACAGAAACACAATGTGCAGGAGCACACGAATCACGCAGTCGGCAAAACTTTTGGATTGGCTATGGGAAAGAATGGCAGCTCTTCTTCTATACTATATTACATCCAGAAAAGATGGGTATGTGCCAGAACTAATGCTTTAGGCCACAGTTAGCTATGGTCTCGTTAAATCCTTCGCACTTGAAAATAACAGCTCACCCAAATACCCAAATTAACTACTATAGCAGGGGTGGTATGTTATGGTGTGGTTTCCCTGGCAGATATAAGGTGAGGATCTTCGTATAGAACAAGATTCAAAGATATAGAATATTTATGATTGATCAGCCGATCCTGTGCTGTGCCACTAAGGCTATTCAAGCAATCGATCGAATTAGATACATCGGAATAACATAAAACAACAGTCGAATATTTTAATAAATGATGTTGTTGGATACTCGTCTCTGGGAATGCTCCCAACTAGCCACAACCGGCTAAGCGTGGTATAACATGACTCTTTGGTCTGACAGGTACCGTGTAATCGTCTACAGCCGATTTGCGCATCTGCAAATTCATATGAGATTAGTGTTGTCACTTTTGAATAGGATACTTAGATTACGATTTCTGAATGCACATCGATCTGGAGGAATCACTTAAATTAAAACACTCGTAGCATAGACATCGCTCAATAATTGGATTAACAAAAGTCCAATGAAAGAACTTGGAAGATTTCTGGATCGAAGACCACACCCACGCCCACATTCCCAAAGCTCCTCTCCAATGATGAGACCCTCAACTAAAGTTAGACAACCACAGCTGGATCACCTTCGCTTTCTGAGTCCACAACCCGTATAAGAAATTTTTGGTTGCCTTAACATTTCCGCTTTCTCTTATAGCCCTCATCAGACAGGCTTTCGTCAGAAGTGAGTGCTGTCTGGCGCTTGCGCTTTGAACCCACATGGAGAGGTAATATTTCTAAATCAATCGGGCCTCTAGGCATAAACTTCAGCTCTAGTAGTCTTCCCCGAATCTTAGCATAGTGTGTTCTCAGCGCCCCAAGACTACGACCCGGGAAGTAGGCCGCAATTCCCTCCCAGCTTAATGTAGTAAATATCCTCAGGTTGAGGAGTAAAATATTGTCACCAATAGTATATTTCACTAGTCGCTCATTGCTTAAAATAGCTGGCCTTGGGACGGCCTTGCAAAGTCCATCCTTAATATCAAGGTCCCTTTTATAGGCTCCGGCTTCGCAGGCTGCAGTTAGGTACCTAAATGCATGGTCTTTTAGATCCTGCTGGCTTCTAGGTTTGGCACGCGGTATTGGTAAGGGGTTCTTAATCCTCTCAAGCCGGGTTTCCCTACAATGTAACAAGATGCTGTCGAGAATCACGACGGCCGACCGTTCTATGCCGTCTTGTGGATATAAAGCGTTGACAAGAGTAGCTGTATATAGTATAGGTGGCGCATCTATTGGATCTCGCCGTAGACGCATACATAACTCTTCAGCTTTTTCTTTGCGGATTGCTTCCTTTCTGACCATATTCCCAGTGTCTACTGTATATGTCCGGGACTGGTAATATTTCTGGAATGTTTTATCACTAGTATTATAATGGCCCATCAACTGCTTGCGTCGTCCTTCTGGGACATTCACTTTCTAATATTAGATTTATTTTCCTAGTTTCTATATTAAGGGCAACTTACTATCTGCTATCACATTGCCAACCACTCTACGTAGGCAGTAAAAGGTAAAACGTTCTTTGAACCCCATTTCACGAAAAATTCTCTGAGCCTGACTCGTTGCGAAATTATCCTGCAATGGGAGAGTCGTTGAAAAACGTACATTTGAAAATAGCCCTTCTGTCCTGCGTAATATTGGCATAGAAAGCTTACTCTGTTTAATACGAATAATCTCATCACATCCAGTTGTATTTGTCTTGCTAAATAGCGCTAATGGAGTAGAATAATCCTCAAAAGCATTATCTAAAAAGGCGAAAGCGAGGAACCATAGTACCTCGCAATAGACATGCTGACTTCGTTGAAAGTATGTTTGAACGAGACTGTTTTTGTGAGACGAAAGTCCTATAATTATACCCAGGAGACTTACAATTTTTTGGCGCTCTTTCGGCATCCCTTCCTGTTATGAAAGGTGATTCTCAGTTTGAATTTAGGAGCGTTTGTAACAGAAGAAGATGACATCAAAATTAATTGAACGTCCTATTAATATTAGTAGACTAGTTCGAAAACGTCCATTATATATACCTTATAAAACAATGCAACTTCTTCCTTACGATACGAACCGGAGCTAATTATAGCACCTAGCCGCTCTCCATTATCTGCAACTAGAAGGAATAGCCAGACTAATTGTAGACGTTGTCTTTCGAAAGACCACCGGTGTTTATCACACTCGATAATATATCGAATTACTAATTTAGTATCTTCCCAATCTGTATATGCCTTCTCATATTCTGCATCCTGAATACCAAGCTCTTCTATTAAGTCGGTCTGAATATACTAGTAAAAATTAATATATATAAAAGCTAACTCAATAATTTATACTTACATTTAATACTGAATCAATAGTTTCCTCTGCTATCAAGATACCAAAAAACTGTTTATACATTTTTCTGAACCTAGAGGCAACCCACAAAATAGTTGTAGATGTGGCCCTGCCCCCTTTCACGATTCTCCCCTTGGTCTTCTTTGCATACCAATACATGAACATCGATAGAGTGCCGACATCCGGGGCGGAGTCAGGCTCCTGGAGTTCCCCCAAGAATCTACCTTAAAATATTAGCCCTCGCTGAGTTAATAATAGATAATATCCCGTACGCTTCCCATTGAATTTTCAGATTGGTGTATAACTTTTGCGTAGGAGTACTCAGGTGGTTGACTGAAGGTGTGAAAGGGGTTGATGCTTTCTGTATAAATTTCGCGCGAAGGCGATCGCGATGTGCCTTTAACTCATCTACCGTAGATGCTTTTGACATACTTTGGCTCAAGGTTCTAATAAAACAGAATGGTGGGTTTTGTAAGAAATATTAAGAGTAGGAGAAAGTAGAAAAAAGGTAAAGCTAAGAGAACATCCGAAGGGAATATAGTCGGATTTAAACAAGGTCAGGTTTACTAACAAAGAGCAATCTTCTTTGCTTACATTCTTTATACTGCAATCTATGAGTTATATGTATAAGGTTTACTGCCTATGAAACACCGCTTTATTAGTTCATTCCTGAAAGAACAATACTATAGAAAAGCTGTTTATATTTTTATTTCTTTAAGTTATCACTCCCAACGCCGACGCACTTCATACGCGCTGGCTTTAAGTATTCTATGAAAAGCGATGACGCCACACCCTTTACCTGTTTTATGTAAGCTGTTCTACTAATAGCAGAGAAATACTCCTATACTGAATTTACGGTATTTGCTTGGCACTACGCAGCTTAACCTTGTCTAATTACAATGTTTATTGATTTCCAGGATTTGGAGACAGGGGAGTTTCTTTTTGAGAATCTAATACCGTAATTTCTTTGTCGAGATTGAAGTCGTGCCGGAACCGTCGAAAGCATTGACATAAGCAAATAAGCACATCCCTGGCCAAACAATAGAAAGCTGATTTGGCCGAGTGGTCTAAGGCGATGGTTTTAAGTCCTATGAATTAAGCACCATTTCGAAAGAGCGTGGGTTCGAACCCCACAGTCAGCATACATTTACTTTTAAATTTTTACATTTATTTGTTGCGCTTGTATACTATTGAAGTGTTGTGCTGTTGAAACCTGGTTTTTTGGTCGCTTGGCCGGATCACAGCCTTAGCGCAAAATTATATCGCCTAAATAACCATAAATGAAATAAGGTTTGCGCTACTGTACCGCACGGACCATACATTGGATCTGGAAACTGTTTGAAACTTGGTTTACTACTGTGAAATCTCTAATCAGTAGAATCAAGCTATAGACTCCGCGATTCACATACCGGCACTAAAAATAGCTTCACACACACAGCTTTCTAGAGATGACAAGCTACGTATTTAAACCCGTTATTATGCTTAGGTTGGCCTATTAATTACACTCTCTTATAGCACGCTAAGGGGTACCTACCAACAAGTTTAATATACCCTCAAAATACGCTATGTACTTTTAATGAGAGGATATCGTAGAGCCAAGCATTTAATATGTACGCTATAGCATAAGAATCTTATCAAATGGGCTACTTAGAGCTCTTTTATGTGCGAGATTTTTAGACAGGGATGCTGAAATAGCTAGGACTGGACTGCATGGAGAAAATAAAACGAAATATCCTGGCAGGGAGGGATACTACAGAGCTATAAGGGGAAAGAAACTATTAGATGAGAAATGGGCCTATATCAGGCTATCTATTTAGGCATAGCTTAGCCCCTATTCTTGCATGTATATAGCTACCCTACAGACCCTACTTTGTTCTACAATCGAGTCCAATTCCCTGATTCAATAGAACTTCCTCTTTCTAACAAGAATCAACTACGCCACTAATGGCCAAGAAGGTGACCACAAAGAGGAATAATATACCCGAAAATGAGAACCTATTGATACTCCTAGACCTCGTTACTGTTACGGTTAGCACAGCTAGCGTCACGTGATCATGTGATACTCACGTGATGGCGCTAAGTAACGGCCCCACTATAAGAACAAGCGCGTCGCGTAGAGATCTCCTTTCTCTTCTTTCTTCTTTAGGTTTGAATAGTCGAATAAGAGACCTTTCTACCCTGCACCGCGTGCCCTGAATTATGTACTCGTGACAGTTACTTTAAAGGATTATATTCTATATTCTAAGAGTCCAATATTTATACTAGACTATACAACCGTAATATAGCTGTTTAACACGACACCGGCACAGGGTATACAGAAGATTTAGAAAGGATGTCCTTGCGGAATGCAGGATATACCCTATCTGTCACGGCCAGCTAAAACCTACGTTTACCTAGGCAGTAGAATATCACTGAACTCTCTAACATACCGTAGGCTCTTCGCCAGTGAAGTATTTGTATTATTATTCGATGAACTAATCGCTAAGGAAAGGAAAGTAAGAGCTTGAGTTTGGGTGGGGTGATAATAACCCCTCCATCAGGATATCCCATCGAATTATCATAACAATACTATTAGAGACAGAGAATCACGGGCACCTATATCAACCGTATGAACCTCAAAAGGAGCCTGTAATCCACTCTTGTAAACTCTCTTCAAGCCTAGAGCTTCGCATTAGAAGTTTCGTTAATAGATTAGTATCCCGTTTCTTTGTCGGATAAACCACACTTCTGACTTCTAGCTTGTCTTTGAGTTGTGCCACGACGAGGTGATGTCTACAAAGGCTAATCAACCACCTCAGTTGTTGATTCAAGACCTTAATAGCATTTGAAGCTGAAGCTTTTATTAGACCAAATATTAAGAGGTGTTTGTGACCAGTAAACCCTCCAGCATTGTCCTGCATTATTGGGTGATCTTTCCAACATGCTTCTCAAACAAACCAACACGGTGTAAGGGTTTAGCATAGGAGCAGCCTGTGTCACGCTGTATATTCTATCCTGATGGAGGGGTTGTTATCACCCCACTCAAAACTCAAGCTCTTTCTTTCCTTTCCTTAGCGATTAGTTTATCGAATGATAATACTATTATCACACTAGCGAATAGCCTACATTATATTGGAAGATTCAGTGATATTCGATTGCCTAGGTAAACGTGGGTTTTAGCTGGTCGTGACATGAACTAGCAGCGGGGTCTTTCGTATAGTGTGGGAGTGGCAGCAAGGCTATACACGTGCCTCGTCCAACTCAGCGGACGTGTTGCACTTTTTGATAGAGGTTGACAACCTGATTGACATTATCGCAGGGTAAAACCTTCTATATATACATCCAGTATATAAACTACAGCTGTACAGCGTATACTGTATCACTAGATTCCAACAAGACGCAAATCGGGGGTAGATGTTGTAGGGCAACTCTGGGTACTTTGACGATGGTTTGACGGGTAGCTGAGTCCGGGGCTAACGTCGTAACTCACCTAACTCCCGGAGGCAAGGTAGAGCCTTATCGGTTCGGGCCTCGAAAAGCGTTGAATGCCACTCTTCTAGCCCATCTCTGCCCGCCCTATGGATCCGATCGTGTTATAGAATTTGTTTAGAAGGATCTTCATAAAGTTTCATCTTCTATTTTCCTCTATGGACCTTAGACGCCCATGTATTATCGGCTTCACAGCTCTTCAGGCCTTTGCTGGTGAGGCTGGCTTCAAGCCAACCATTTCCCACAAGGCTTAAGGTTAATAAGGCGTATGAGCGTCCGGCATTGGCTAGGCATCCGATGCCTCCCAAACCACATGGCTTTCTTATTATATCTCTTTCCAAAGCAAGGGCATCACAACTTCTGTGTTATCAGATCCATGCGATCCATAATTCATGCCGATTATTCTCTCGTCTTGACTATATTGGGGCGTCGCACACCTGGTTCTAGTATTTCAGATCAACCCCGTGAACAAGGCTATCACATCGTAGAGCTGAGGCGTTCGCACACTACCAGAATCATAGGGGTTTCGACAACAACTCTCTTGCAACAATCTCAAACTCTTATTATAAACTAAAAAGCTTCTCGAGAACTTTCCCAAAATGGCTTCTCCAAAGGCCTTAGAAAGTCGAGACCAATACGCCATTGGATGGATCACTGCTCTCCCGTTGGAACTAGCAGCGGCAACGGCCATACTTGATGAGGAACATGCGAGGCCTCTTGATTTCGAGAAGTCTTCCACCGATCAAAATACCTATACATGGGGTCGCATCAGTGGGCACAACGTGGTTATTGCATCGCTTCCGGCTGGAGTTTATGGCGAAACTTCTGCTGCGGGTACGGCGATGTCTATGCTCCACTCCTTTCCCCATATCCGAGTAGGACTTCTGGTGGGTATTGGCGCTGCGATTTCAAGGCCGGAGCAAGACCGTGATATTCGGCTTGGTGATGTTGTCGTCAGCCAACCTGATGGGCGCACCGGTGGAGTTCTCCAGTACGACCTGAGAAAGGCAAAGACTGGGGGCAAACAAGAGCTGAAAGGCTCGCTCAACATGCCACCACAGGTTCTTCTCACAGCATTAGCGAAACTTCAAGCACTTCATGAGCGCAAACCATCCAAAATGCCCAAATTTCTAGAAGAGATGGTGAAGAGCAATCCTCAAATGGCTAAATCAAAGCCTGGGAAAGCTAGCTATTTATACCAGGGACGCGATAGTGACCGGTTATTCAAGACAGAATATACACATGTGAATGGCTTCAATTGCAAGGACTGCGATCCCCAGCAGGAGGTATCACGTGAAAAGCGAGACTCTAGTGAACCCGAGATCCATTATGGTATTATTGCCTCTGGGAATACGCTAGTGAAAGACACCGCTACTCGGGACTCGATCCTGAAGGATACGGAGGAGGATTGCATTTGCTTGGAGATGGAGGCGGCTGGGCTGATGAACAATTTTCCTTGTCTCGTTATACGAGGAATTTGTGATTATGCTGACTCGCATAAGAATGACTGCTGGCAAAGGTATGCTGCTGCAACAGCTGCTGCTTATGCGAAAGAGTTTCTGGAGGTTGTTCCGGCCGAGGACCTAGAAAAGATACAGAAGGCGGTTGATGTTTTGAAAGAGGGTTAGTGTCTATCTAATCTTACAAGCCCTATGGTAACAGCAGCAGAAGTAACCAAAGTTAAGGAGAAATTGAATGATATCGGTAACACCACTAAAGAGACAATGAATAGTGTTGATAAATTACATCTTAATAGTCAACAACAGAAGGTTATCGAGTGGCTTTCCCCTCCTGATCCCTCGACAAACTACGTTCAAGCATTAGAGCAGCGTCATAAGGGTTCAGGACAGTGGTTCCTTCAAAGTGATGATTTCGCTCAATGGAAAGCGGGTTCTAATTCATTTCTATGGCTTTATGGCATCCCTGGGTGTGGGAAGACAATTCTCAGCACTACCATTATTGAGGAGCTCGAGAAATCCACCTCCCCCTCTCAGCTTCTTTACTTTTATTTTGACTTCAAAGATACTAGAAAGCAGTCACTTGAGAAGATGATACGCTCGCTCATTGCTCAATTCTACGGAAAGCTGGGAAATTCTCGGGCGCAGTTAGATTCGCTCTTCTCATCTTGTCACGGAGGACAACCAACTAACGAATTACTGTGCTCGAGTCTCCTATACATGATACAACAAGTTGACGAAGTCTATATTATCTTAGATGCTCTTGACGAATGTAATACAAGGAGCGGGCCGCAGACTAAAGGGCTGCTATCATGGATGAAAGACCTTCTGGGCTCCGAGCGAGTACATGTCCACCTACTTGTGACAAGTCGCCAAGAAGATGATATCAAATCCGCATTAAATGAATGGGTCCACATTAAATTTCAGGTGCCTATTCAGAGCAATGTTGTTGATCACGACATACATGCGTACATTTACACGAGAGTTAAAGAGGATGCCGGCCTAAAAAGATGGCGATCACGGCCAGACATCCAAAAAGAGATTGAAACTCAACTCAGGGAAAAATCCAAAGGAATGTAAGATATGTATTGTTCTTTACAGTTTCGGGTATTTTCTATGAACATGTACTAAGGTGTTACAGGTTTCGCTGGGCTGCATGCCAGCTAGATGCTCTCGAGAAGTGTCTTGATCCTCCCACTCTCAAACACGCACTTGCA